GACGCAAACAGTTAACTAAGCTGGGGAAAATTCATCGATTACGTAACTTAAAGGTTTGAGTTAGAAATCTACTGTAGTAAGAATTATACTTACCTAAGCTGTTTTCGTTTTAATACAGTTGTTGCATTATTTTAAAATACTTTTATTAAAATTTATTTTAAATCATTTTATTAAAATTATACTTTATCAAAAAATACGAAACTTAGATTTAATCATTATACCTCAAAGGAATTGCACTGTTGTCAACTGGCATAAAAAATACAAAGTAATATCCGGCCTCAGAAAGTGATGGGACGATGAAAAGAGAAACTATGTATATGTCTAGAAGCAATCTCTGGAATATTACGTCTAGAACAGTAGTTCTCAACTTGTTCCCCCCCCCCCATGCAGCACTCTCACCATTCCCTAGATCTTTTCCCTTTCCGTCTCCCAAACTGGAAAAATACATATACATTTATTCAGATATATATTTTTAATGCTTTTCATAATTAAACAATAAATATGAAATCTTTCAGATTTTATATTACGTTCAAAAGAGCGATCTTTTAACGTTTTGTGTGTTATCTTTATTTATTAAATATCATGTTCTTTGCACTTAAAGCACATGAAACTCAATTCAAAAGCATTATCACAAAATATTTAAAAACAGCATATTTTTAGAATTTTCGATACACAGTCTTGGGATACTGTCCACAGTCGTGCTGGAGATAGAAATGTTTTTTGTTTTTATTATTATTTTCGTATTGGCATTGCTCGCTTTGAAATCTTTGAGTTAGTTAATCAAGAAGTTGTTAAAGTTTAACCAAAAAATATAATAGACAATAAAATAAATTCGGTATTCAAGATTACGACTTAGACAAGTGCCCATATTCGGATGGAGGAATACGTTATTCAAAATTTAATGGCTGTATGTACCATTGTTTTTTCACAATGCGAGAAACATACATACATTCGTGCAGGTTCATCATTATTTAGTTTCTTTAAATATAATTTAGAGCGATAATATTTGGTAGAAACAATTCAAGTGTGAACGTTTACAGTAAGCGACGCAAATTGGCGTTTCGAGATTAATAGACATTCAGGGGTAACGCTCCTTTGGTCTTTGATAAATACCACAACTATCACATGAATAAAAATAGACTAACAGCTTAAAGGGCAACTGCATTTCCGCATTTAAGCGTTCGTCCTTGTTGAACTTACTTCTGCTAAACTGTATTTAATTAATAGCATAACCAATTGATAATTTATGGACATTTACAGTTCTTTTGAAGGTGCGCATTTGCTATAAAAACATTGTTTTAAATTTCTCGGGAAACGGTTTTCTACACTTTTATTTTTTCAATATTGTTTTAATATTTTTTAAAATGTTAATGATAAATTTTTTATCAAGGTGTCGATTGTAATCTAAAGTCTTGTGACTGAAATTTTTACTTATTATTTTGTTTCTATTTTTATATCATTAAAATACCAGCTGTTTTGTATCAGTGCGAAATGCTAAACGCAAATTTAAATTACATAAATGAATATAAGGGATGGTCTCCAGGTATGTGTATTCTAATAAGTTTAAGATGATACATATATTTGTATAATTTTTAATGTAACTGCATAGATAAATAAATATCATCATCAACAAAAACGATGTTTGCGTATTTGATGTATCTAATTAATCTTATTATCAGTTTAATTTTATTAATACAATTTACACGAAACAAAAAGTAACAATAAACACTTTTTTCTTTCCTTGAAATTTTGTTATGAGGCAAAATAAGTATTTTACAACCATAATGTGAAAGAAGATTTTGTCCTCTTTATAGGTAAATGCGAAAATTAACAAATTTTTTTAATAAACTAATTTTTTTGTTTAAAATACTTCTCAGCTACATATTAAATTATGTATAATTATGTAGTATCTTCTTTTCCTTAGAAATGCTTTTGAATTCCATCATACGTGTTGAATTATTTCTCTTAACTGTCTTTAAATTATATGATACGTATTACTCCTCACATACACTAATACTTAACACAGTCATTTTTATGACATATTTGCAATCGAAGAGGACCGGGCATCTACAAACCTGAGCAAAACATATACCTTGATCAAACTCTCAATGCTATATTTTTATCAATGGTTTGGCTGCGATAATTATTCAATGTAAAGAACTTAAACGTCAATATTAGCGAATATTACTTGTATGAAAGTTGTTGATTACATATTTGGAACTCATATAATTGTTATATGTAACACTAAAAAATAATATCTGGAAAATACTAAGCAATGTAGGTTAATTTCATGTAAGAAGTTTATTTAACTTTATGTTGCTTCCTTTTGCATAAAAATGAAATTATATCTGCAGTTTAAATGACTGAAAAACCTTTTGGTTTTATTTAAGTAATAAATTAAGCAAACTTTGACATTATGCTCTTGAGCTGCTGGTAAAAGCGATGTTCCATGTATAATTGTTTTGATGCGATAGTGATTTTAGTCTAAACCCATCTTGAGACTAAAATCATGAAATATCAAAACCAACATGGTAAACACTAATAATTTGGTAATTAATAATGGTAAAAGCTAATAATAACGTAATTGTTCCACAACTAAAACTATTGCTAACTTTTGGATTTAATTACTATATAGCTTTTATTCTTAAAAGCTTTCGGTAATCTGACTCCAGTTCTACAGTTTCGTACAAAACACAAAAGTTAGGTTAAAATAGGCTTTACTGCTGAAATCAGTTTGAATTTAAGAAACTGAACACCACGTAAAAAGGTTAACAAAACAACATAATTGGTGGCGTTGGACATCTCGTGGCATGGTTAGTTCCTGACTTCCTGAGGTACTCAGTGCTACCTCAATGCCATTCTTGAACGTACTCTGCTCGGCAACTGGGAAATAGGACCACTGTCTTGTAGAGTCCTCGTTCGCTTGGTCTCTCTAAGAGAAGGCCACACTCTTGTGAGATCCAATACTCTAGAACTGACCTCCCCCCCCTCTCTTGTAAAATCCACTCGGCTACAGGGATTGGACTAGATGACTGTATTGGCGTTTTCGCGGTTTTCCCCGTGTGTAACGTGTATATGAGCCAGTTTTCCTTAGAAAGAAGGCATCCTTCCCCTTAAGCAGATAGTCTTCGAATGCTTTGACATAATCAATCCAAACATCTTTCTCTCTGCAAATTTACTAACAGAAGATGCCTAGAAATCATAAGGTTTCACGATTCTACTCTGTTTGACGTGAGACTAAATGCTTAATATTGTAGCCTAAATGGCTGAAATACTCTATGAAGTTTGCATTACAACATTAATCAATGCATGCTTTTTTATCTTTCAATATTTTAGATTTTGAGGGTATAAATGAGTCGATACTTTTTAGAAAAAAAATATGACATGCAAATTCAGCAAAAATCTTTATGTTATAAAATTAGCAATATAGTTAAGTGTGAAGTATATTTCAAGAAATTCGAAAGGTATCCTTTCAAAAATACAACCCGCAACTTTTAAACAAGAGCAAATATTGCCAAATTTCAAAACGGAAAAACAACAAAACTATAAGCGAGTGTAAAACGTGTGTGTAAATTTTGACTGTTGAATTTGCACCATTCATTAGCAGACGACAAATTTATGATATTTAGTGCAATTACATTAATAATTTCTGAAACAACAACGGATGTGGTATTCTATAACTATATTATTTCTGAAATATCCATACCATTAAAAATGAATTAAATATAACTTTATATACCTGTATGTATACTTCCTAAGGAAAGTTGTACACAATATGCATTTCATTTTGTTTGAATTGCAAGCAAACTGCGTAACATTTGATTCTTAGAGTTGCTGTGTGACTTCTTCTTGTTCCTTGATGCGAAATATCCCAGAAAAGAAACCTTTTTACTCATAATAGTATGTGCTTTTATCACTTACAGTGAAAAAACAAAATTATTGAAGTTAAGTTGGTAAGTTATAAACCAGCTGTAATTCTAGATATGACGAACTTAAGTTAAAACCCCATATATATTCTAAAATTTCTTGATACATCTCTCATCATCAGTAGACCAAAATAACTTATATGCATTAGTGGAATATTTTTCCTGTTCTACTACGGATCCAATTTCCTCATATAATTAGTAATTTACTAAATATTAAACGGTGATAATAAATTGATACAGATTTCTTGCAAAATTTTTATAAAAATTAATTTGAATTTGTTAATGTATTCCATTTGAAATTCTTGTATATTTTAAATACTAAAACTTTACACTGATCGACGTTCTCCAGATTGAAACAGGCTTTAAATCGGAAACGAATAGTGAATACATTTAATAACATATTAGATCATATTACCTGACCAAACTTTTATGAAAATAAACAATTAATCTACACAATAAGAGCAGCTAATTTAAACTAGTTCAGTGCTAAAAGATAACATATGTCAAACAATAGTTATGCTAACTGGGAAGTTGCAGAATGATATGCTTTTAAATATACTACAAATTCCGAATTTTAATTAAAATTAGAAACTAAATAGAGCAAAATGTTCTATGATAACGTAAGTAAAAAAAAGACAATAACAAAACCTGTCTTAGCTTAGAAGAAAAATATTAATGTTACCGAAATAAAAGACAACTCATTTCTTCACGTGACTTAAAATTCTACTTTTATAAAATGGTGGATTGAAGTTGGAAAAGAAAAGCGTTTCAAGCTTAACACAAGCATTATTCACGAACAAAAATATCCTCTGAAGTATAAATAAATGAAGAGAAAAAAGATTTCTTAAAGATCTAAATAACTTCTGTCACTTACTGTAAGCTATTTCCAAATATGATAAAAATCATATTATGTTCAGATTTAAACATTATAGAATTGCATACGATGGGAAAACTTTTAATCTTTAATGGACCGTAACTAGCATTAAATATGACGCAGCAGTTTCTTAAATGGGCTATTTTGTATTTTCTTATAATAAACGGATAATAAAACAACTGAACATAAAGTTTTCTTACCTAGTACATGCTATATTTCCCTTATATCATTTCGAAGAACTGCATCATATTATGAACTAGCGAAACAATGCACAATGATGTAGGAGCGAATGCTACAGATTCAAGGAAATGTTTTCATGTTTGATTTCTTTAATGTCCTTATCCTACTTCTTCGCGGATAGAATGTTTGAGCATGCTGAAATGAGAACCTATCTCCCTTTTATGTTCGCAGCTGTGTAAACTGAACATTTAACAGGGCAGCCATCTGGGCGCAATTTATTTTATTTCTTCCGATTCGCAATATCATAAAAATGACTGAATCTAGGCATGTCTATTCATTAAAGAACTGGAAGTTCATTTTCTAACGCCTGTAATTCTTATAACAGACATGGAAATGTTACGCAAGGCAATTATTGAAGCGGGACATTAGAAATAATTCACATGTTAAATTTAATTTATTAACTTTTTATTTTTAATATCAATTCAAAACAGCTAACTAAAAAATAACTAAACTGTTACTAAAGTGGTATCTAAATCTGGTTCTGCTGGAAAGTTTTATTCCTTACGTCTCTTCTGCAAATATTAAAGCAGTGGAGAATAAACGCTCTGGTCAACATACATTTTGCTAAATATACAGTTTATACTGATTATATACTTTTGCGTGCTTATAAAAATAAAATGATTTTATATTGCCCACTTTTTTGGAGTATATGATATTAAATTTCCTCCTATTTACAGTTACTGTTCTTTTCTCTACCCCGGTGATCTCAAACTGGCCTGCGGGCCGCATACAGCCAGCTAGTAAATTTCAGTTGTGTATTTGTTCTAAATATGGTACCAGGTATTTTTAGCTGGATTGAGCAATAACAAAAACAATAAATTTTATCCTCTGTCGAGTTCTGAAACACCGAGTTTGTTGCACGGCTTGAAGAATTTTTTTTTTTTTTTTTCCCATTAGCGAGCACATTTCTATTCAAGGCTGGCCACTCCTAAGGCCAGAAGTGGTGGCCATTTTATTGTGAAGGCACATAATAGGCCACCACCGTTGCCTCCTATAAAACACGGCCAGTTACAGCCATGCCTTCTGCGACTTTCGAACCCGGATCCTTCGGTACGGTAGCAGGCCGCTCGAAGAAACTGAAAGTTGAAAGCAGAGAAATAATTTAATGTAACGTAGTGGGGTAGTTATTTCCACGAGCTGTATGAAAACAGTTTATTGATTAACAAATGAAATCCAAATTTTTATGATACGAAAATAAATAAATAAAATAAATCATCAACTACCTATATAATGCCTCATGAATAACAAGTCTGGCATTTTTGTAGATTTAATCGAACGTTTAAATAGTCTCAGTAAAAGCTGCAAGGAAGAAATAAACTTATCATTGACTTTTATACTATTAAACCTTTAAAAGGTAAATTAGAATTACGGGAAACACAGCTTGAATTAAAATATTCTGTACATTTCCTATATTTCAAATGCTGCAATATTATTTGATATTAAAATCACTAAAAATATGCACGATAAATAGCATTATTACGACAAGAAGATGAATTAGTTATAATGATGTGTTGCCCAATTTAACATTATTTTTATTGCAATTAAAACGAATATAAATAATGCTTCAGAAAATCTACAAGTAAAGTTAATTAATTTAGCAGTGTGATAAAAATCTTATTCAAGAATTGGGAAATATAGACCTGATTAAATTTTATTCGTACTTGTTAAAAGATAAGTACCTTCAGTTACGAATTTTTGAAATAAGAATAATCGCGTTGTTTAGAAGTATACTTGTGTGTGAATTATGTATTTTGTTGATGAAAATTTATAAATCCGAGAAAAATTTCGATTGGTAGAAGAGCATCAAGAATCTGTGATTACATAATGTAGTAAGAAATAAATAAGTTTATTAATTGTGTATATACAAATATAGGTATTTCTTTCTGCATATGTTAAGAAAGTATTTAAGGTAAAAAGAGAGAATTTCCGTTATTTATATTCATGTTTTTTAAAACTTCAAAAGATACCTCTATACAGTCGGAAATATTTCGTAAAATGTGCTTATTTATAGTATAGTATATATAAGCAACTTGGCGGATAATTCAACATATTAGAATTATCTGAGATGAATGCCAGTTTCAAATTTTATCATTTAGCTTTCAATATGCTTGAAATGTGTAGTATAACCAAAAAGAATTTCTGCAAATACCAGTTTAGGTTTCAGATAAGCAATAAAAATAAGTTTGAATTTTTGTAAGGAATCAGGTACTTGAAGTAAATAGAAAAAAAAAATAACCGCAAGAAAAATAACTTATCATTTTAGCTAGGAAACCAGGAAAAGATTATAAGTTTAAGAAATAAAAAGCAAGTACAGTGAAAAACGTTGTAGGAAATGCAACTGAATATTACGAAATAAATATTCCATTAAATCCGTTTCAATGAAAATTAAATTTTAAAAATATAATTTCCAAGTATGTTGCAAACTTACACGCAGCGCACCAACACACACGTAACATCAGTTATAAAGTCGTGATATCCGTACATTGGGAGCATATAAGGCTCAATGTACTCACACACACACACATATATATATATATATATATATATTCACTCTCATTTAAAACAAAATCTGAAAGCTTTCAAATTTTATATTACGCCCAAAAGAGTGTTCCTTTAACGTTTTGTGTGTTACCTTTATTAATCAAATATCATGTTCTTCTCACTTCAACAGCAATATCACGAAATATACATTTCCGCGCTTGAGATAAATTTTTTTTTTTTTTTTTTCGTACAGTGTTGCCATTGCTCACTTTGAAATCGTTGCATATGTTAATCAAAAACTCATTAAGTTTTACAAAATATGAAGAAGATAATAGAGCAAATTCGAAATTGAAAAATCGGGCTTACAGAGCCCATCTTCGAGTGGAGGATTGCGTAATTCAAAATTTGATAGATCTAGGTACCGTCGTTTTTTTCGCAATACGATCCATAAATTAATGAAAATTCTTCATCGTTTAATTTCTTTAAATATAATACAGGGCGATTATAATTGGTGGCAGCATTTTGGAAGGTAATTCAACACAAAATGCCGTTTCGAGACTAATAGCCCTTCTGGACTAACGCTTCTCTGTTCTAATAATAATAAGTGCCACCGATCGGGCATTCGGCCTGCATACAATCTGAGACTGAAACAACTGCAATTAATGAAATTCACTGCATGAATGAAACGTTTTATAAGCAGATTTTAAATCAGCATTATAAAAGGCATAAGATTATTCCTTTCATTTCCATTTAATATGCCAAATGTTAAATATTTTTGACCTATTACTAATTTTAATTGCTAGTCCACGAAACTAATTTTCTGTTTCGTTATCGAAAAATAAATAAATAAATAATGATTTAAAGAAAAATAAAAATCCGTAAGTACTGGTACAAACATGAAATACTTGCAATTACTTTTTAGCTTATCGCACCTTCTTCATAAAAATTTTGCCCACCAGCGGCGGACCGATAAAGTCGATGAACACTGGTAGTTCGGTCCGGGGTTGGAATCTCGGTGAACGGACTGGCTGCGTGGATGTTTTCATGGTTTTCTCCAAGTGTAACGTGTATACGAGCCAGTTTCCCTAAGAAAGCCGTCCACGAAGTCATCCCTGCCTTTAGGCAGATAGCCCCCGTGTGCTTTGCCATAATGAACTAAACCTAATTCTTAAAATTCAGAAGAACGGTGGAAAGACAAATTGCTTGTTTGAGTGATTTTCGTTATGTAGTAGATAATGAAATACGTTCTCAAGTACGTACACTCATGTCCATAAATTAAGGATAATGCAAAATCAGGCAAAGCAAGAGTTAGAAGTAAAACAAATTTGACTTATTTGTTAAGCTTATTTATTAAACAAAAGGTAAAGAGCAAAAAAAAAAGATGTTATACGTTTGATATTATTAAAAAAATAGCGATTTTTTTCTCCCTGGAGCAAATTACAAAAAACACCTATTTACAAAAAACCAATATTACATGGTTGGTATGATTGTTAATACATTGTATGTCTCCCAGACGATGCACTACAGTCCGTATAACGCCTAGGCATGCTGAGTAGCAAATTATCGATCTGATCTTGTGGGATATTACACCATTCATAAAGCAATGCTCTCCGAAGTTCCGGTAGACATGTAGGAGGAGGTTGATGGGCTGCAACTCGTCGGCCAAGCATATCCCACACATGCTCTACTGGATTCAAGTCCGGTGAGAATGCTGGCCAGTCCATACGGGTGATATCCTCCGATCGAAGGCATTCGCTTACGATGTTTGCACGGTGAGGACGGGCGTTGCCATCCATAAACACAAATTGTGCGCCCATTGCGCGCCGAAACAAACGTACATGTTGTTCCAGAATGACGTCCAGATAGATTTGGCTTGTCATGGTTCCGATTTGAGCATGCAGGTCAGTTCTGGAAACCAGAATAATTTCACCCCAAACGAGCACTCCTGCAACACCGTAACGGTGACGTTCAATGATGTTTTCTTGGTGGTTACGGATATCTGCAGCTCTCCATATGAAAGTCCGGCGAGAATCAGACTGCAAGCTAAACCTGGACTCGTCGGAAAACATCACACAAGCCCACTGTTGCGGTGTCCACATTACATGCTCTCTACTCCAGGCTAAGCGCAGGCGACAGTGAGTTGCAGTAAGTGGAACGCATCTGACAGGTCTACGAGCATATAGACCAATCTACCCTAAGCGTCTGTACACGGTCTGTCTTGAAATTGTCGTAGCAGTGGCTGAAGAGGGCTGACGAGACGGGTCTGAGGCTGTGCTCCGCCTGTTTCTTTTGGCAGTGACTGCCAAATACCGGTCCTCATTCGGCGTTGTAACTCTGGTGCGACCTGTGCTGTAACGCCTACTCACATTACCATCATCTTGGAATCGTTGCCAAAGCCTGGAGATGACACTCTCGGCAATTCCAAGTTCGCCTAATACTTCCAGTTGGGTACGCCCACATTCCAGACGGCCGATAATTCTACCACGTAAAAAAAATCATCCATATGCGTCCTTTGTGTCATAATTATTCGGTTATTGCACTGAAACGCTTATAAAGCTCCTGCGAACAATTTTACTTTTTTGCATGTATTCCTTATATATCACTCTCTTACACTCTCGTTATTGTGACGTACCATCGGTGTCATCTGGTTACTTCCTGAAATTTGCATAT